GAAGAAGCAGCAACAGACAACCTCAGCTAAAATAAATTGATTTTATGCTGTAAAGAAGAGAAGCGAAAGCAAAGCAGCAAATGATCGGCTAAGCAACCTGTCATCAAAGTTACTGGTGATTCATATTCTGTTACTTGTCTGAGTATTGGAGCGTCGTACATGGCAGCTCAGGTGCCGTTGATGTGTGAATGAAAAACAGATTGTAAAGCACTTTGTAGAATCTAGCTAAGCTAGAAAGGTGCCTATATGAATGCAGACCTTTTAGCTAGTCCTTTGAAAAATTTTCAATGTCCTTTGAGGCAGAAAAACATGGAAGAAGGAGCTTCACAAGTATATCGGCGATAACAGGTTCTCATAGGAAAAATTGGAGTTATAGTTGATTCATATACGAACACAACGCATTCCCATAATCAGCCCCAACCCAGGCCTGATCTCAGCTGATACTGATCTGTAGACCAGCTCAGTGCAAGACCAAACCTATGCCTGTCTTTGTTTACAGTTTTCATCTCAGAAAAAAAAGAAAAAAGAAAAGAAAAAGGGAAAAAGAAGCTACACGACAGACATTCAGATGTGCTATTGAGGCATAAAATCACTCTCCTATTTCATCCTGGCTTTATTTTAACATATTTGTGCTGGCCTCACTTCACTCAGCCTTATGTTTAACTTGTTTAACTGTAAACTAAATTTTATAATTCATCCTACATCCACCCAACCGGTCGAGGCAGATGGCCGTCCCTCCCTGAGCCTGGTTCTGTCAGAAGTTTTTTTCCCCTGCGGGGGTTTTCGGTTCCTTCCCACTGTTGTGGACTGCTTGCGGACTGCTGAAGCTTATAGGGAATCCAAATGTTTTGGATTGTTGGGTGTTTCTGTCTCTGCCTTTGTGAAGCGCTATGTGATGACTTGTTGTTGTAAATATGCGCTATACAAATAAAATTGAATTGAATTGAATTGAATTATGCAAGTCTCTGTCACGGTGCTTCTTTACTACCTAAACCACCCTAATGATCTCTGCTTACCAACGGAGAAGAGCCTGGATTGGAAGTAAAATTACACCTGCAAATGAAGTGCATATACACAAACAAGCTGCACATACATGAATGGTTGCATGGACAGAAATGCGCTGCAAAAGGAAAATGCTGCATATCCAGTCACACAACAGGAAGTGCCACAGGTTTTTGGGGGGGTCGGGGGTTAAGTCTTTAGCTTCTCAGTCTCCATGGAGACGAAAGAATACATACCTTTTCATACAGCTTATCCCCAACTGACGTTACTTGTCTCACTGTTGTATACTTCTCAGGTGAAAAGCTCACTTCTGTCTCTAGAGGCCTGTGGCACCTCTGTTGTGTGACTGAAAGCAGCGTTTTCTTTTTGCAGCGCGTTTCTGTTTATGCAACGCATTCATGTATATGCAGCTTGTTTGTGTATATGCACTTCATTTGCCCCTGTCGGCCACTGTACACCTGAGACAAATGAGCTTTTAAATCGGCAAATGCAACATGGAGGTATGAGAGTTTGGTTGGCAGCTAATCCAATATCTTCAGGTTTTGCATGCTGCAGTGATTCTCTATTCAAACTGTGTTAAAGAGCAGTGAGAGAGATGTTTTATGCCTAATTGCAACTGACAGAAAAACAGAATTTAATACGGTTTTAAGTGCAGAAACGGCGGCTCTACCCTTTAACATTGGTCAAAGCACACAGATTTCTGAGACCTGCTGAAAGCTTGAATGTGGCCAAACGAGCCTCTGAACAACCAGGTCACTGGGAACTCTGGGGCCCTGCCAGCTTTTGTGTAGCAGCTCACTAAATGGTGAGGTGGGGGTCCAGTCCCCTCTCATGTTGGGGGAGCAGAGGCCTGGTCCTACCCTCCTCTGTGACCGTTGTCCACATCCCCCCTCCTCGTCCTCTCCCTTTCTTCCCTCTGTCCCCTTTTCCTCCTTAAACTGTCTTTTGTTTTCATTTTCGTTGGCATTTCTGCTCCGTCGTTGTTCAGGCCCTAAATGAGTCTTGACTGGCTCGCAGGCCACTGGAGAAGCACAAAGGACTTCGTTCTACTCGCTACAGTTGATCCATTGTGGGCGTCCCACAATGCACTAATTGGCGATGACAATTAAGCGCGGTCGACACTCAGCTTCAATTTGCCCGCTGCTCGACACACATCACAGGCAAATGATTAAGCCTCCGAGCTCCTGGCTCTCCCAGACAACATCCACGTTCACTCGGGCAGGTTTTCGTGCACCTTTACTCACATAAATCTGTTCTCTCTTGGCTCAGTTTGATGCCGACAACCGACTGCAAACTGACACGTTATCGTTTGTCACCTCAGCAAACCGTGAACTCATCTGGAAGTTCATTTTTGACCTTGGAACCAAAATCTCAGCACAAGGTCCGTTTCGTGGAGCTTTTGTTAAATCGCATGGAGATGTTGAATTTCTGTGTTTTCCTTTAACAGTTCAGCTGTTTATGTGCGACACAGTAGTCAGGCCTTGTGCGAAACATAAATACCAACACAACAACGCAAAAAGTTACAAATCTTGCCTTTAAGACACTTCTTTAACGTAAAAAAGAAGTGAAAAATGAAATTCTATTAATTCTATTTAATGATAGCTTTTAGTAAATATGTGTAGAGTCAAAACTGAGCTGGTGTGCTTGAGCTGCAGTGACTACAGGATCTATACATTCTCAAGGAGGCAGCTGTGTCCCAATCATTTTCAGTGCAACTGATTTTGATCTTGTTTCTGTAAAACATTGAGGAAACACTGGTTTAATATTTGACACTTCATTGTATCAAAAATCCTACAAATAATTGCAATTATCAGAGTAACATGTATAAAATTTTCCCTTTGAGATGTGAGCAGAGGTATCAAGGTGCAGAGTTCAGAGGTACTCAAGTAAATGTTTCTGTTTCGTGTTATTACTTTTACTTCACTGCATTTCACATCATATATTTTACAGCTGTGGTTACTTTCAAATTAAAATGTTATTTGAATTGTCATAAAAATCCAAAGCAAAGACCAAAACATGAAAACCGATTTGGGGATCAACTTCTTCTTTTTTTTTTACTCTCATCATTTATCTTGTGACCCTTTGGAGGGACGTGACCCCTAGATTGGAAAACACTAAACTAACTGTATATGAAGTAGCTTCAACACAAACAGCTCCAGCAGTAAAATGCAGCATCAGTTTTGATCTAATAATGTCAAATAGCAGAGTTTTATTGACTGGTGACCATTTGATAAACAAAAATGTCTGTTATTTGTAAGTTAATGAAACAAAACTGGTTAAAACATTGTCAATCATTTAATGTTGGTGAGTTTCTTTTGGTGCTGACCAAAACCTCTTTTGGGGGGCTGCTAAATATTCCTCTCTTCAGAAAAAATCATGACACTGTATATAGAAGATAATACATCAGTCACAGAGGACAGGTTTCTACAGGGAGTGCTTTTACTTTTGGTGCATTTTAGTAATAAAACATCTGTGTACTTCTTTCCAGGGCAAAGGATGCAAAATGGATTCAAAACTTCACTGTTCCGTGCTGCTGGCTGACCTGGATGCCGACATGTTTGGAGTTTTACCAGTAAACATGGAGATAAACACTGTTTCAGATTTGGTGGATATCTGCTGTTCTTCTACCTCAGAATGACACATCAGAGGACTGTACTATGAAGTGAGATTATTGGGTTAGCGAGGTATATTGAGCTTAAAGTCAGAGTTTTCAGGGTCACAAAAGTGGTTCTCTTTTACCTGGCTAGATCTCCATGGTAACTGATGCTGTGGAGATAACCTGATGGGGAGCAGGTTATGTTCAGAGTTTTGGATTTAAATTGGCTGGAAAGCGCATCTCCCTTTAACCAGATCGTTTCCTGACTATTATTTATGAGTGATACAGATTCTCAGCTGAGGGAATGTGTTCTATCTGCAAACATACTGAGTTGTGTGTTACTAATATCACTGAATGAAGCCGTGTAGTTACAGTATCACACACTGTAAATATCGTGTTGCCATGGGAACCCGACATCTATTTAGTTGGCGATGCAGAAATCACACAAATATGTTTTTATGTTTGGCTCTGATCTGCTGTCAAGTCCGTTTACACTGCTGCTACTGCAGCTGATAGAACAGATTAGAAAATGGATTATTCTACTGGTAGCTATTACAGAGAATATTCAATCAATAACATTAAATCTGCTTTAAATGGGCTAAAAATGAAAGCGATATCCTGCATTATGGGACAGTGTCAGACCTAAATGCTCTTCAATACAACATCATGTCTAAATATATTCGATTTAAAGTTTAACTTTAACGTGCCAGTTGGAAATAAGCGGCTGCATCAGTAAAATATCATATTATAACATGTTTAACAGTTTTCTACCAGCATTCCTGTTTTTTGCAGCAGCGGCACTTTTTACCATCATATTTTTAAAAATATATTCCTCATTGTTCTCTGTTAAAACAACATGTTGACGGAAGCAGTCGCGCACGATTGTTGCATTTAGTGCAGAAGAGTCATGTGACGCGTTAAACGCCCCTTTTTATGTGAACAAACACAGAGTTTGAAGCAGAAAGTCTGAGTTGACAAAGAAAATTATTAGCCACTTCCATGATACCCGTAACCTCTGGCTAGGGATTTCGTTTTTGTCGAGCCAACTCACACAAAGAAAGCCTGGCTATGTCAAACTTGCTTTGTAGTATACTCCACTGGTCTGTAAAATTTAACAAACAGAGACGTTTTCAAGTCACTCTTGCAGTAAAATCTACTGACGCTATGATAACATTTGCTCGGATATGGACATTTGTAGTCAACATTTTTAGCTTCCCAACTATTTAGCTAACAAAACGAAGCGGGAACAACCCTAACCCTAACCCTGCGGGCAAGGACCCCTGCTTGCTGCAGCAAGTAGGGGTCCTCGGACCCTAACAAGTATTTTCAAAACAGCAGAAGTTAAAGGAAGTCACATTTTCTCAGACAACCAGCATCATTTTCCAAAACAAGATTCAAACACTTTCACTATTAAGAAGTTTGTCTTTATTGGCATCAGTGGCTAGCGGACAAATCTGAACAAAACCAGACAGGAGGGAGGAAGGGCTGATTTAAATCAAAAATAAATCAAATCAACTCCCTGTACTTGCATAAGAGTTTGGCTGCGATGAAAAGTAAACAATGGTTCAAAAAACAATAACTTAAAAAGTGCAAAAGTGATGAGTTTCAGTCCAGTTACTCGGCTTAAATACTGTACAATAGATTCTAAACTGAAAACATACTGCGATGATCAGAATGTGCCGGAGACATAAGGAACATTTCCAGATGTTTGTTGGTGCTAGTTTCCAAACATAAAATGGTCTTAAACTCAACATGGAGGTTAGCAGGACAAGCAGCTCCAGAGTGACCTGAAAAACAGCTGGAACGTCACATGTAACAGGTTGTACGTTCAAATCAAATCAAGAAAACTGTAAAAACAGTGCAGTAAAAAATAGAAAACGAAACATAAAACTACACAACTGATATGAATGAACAAACAGCATAAAACAAGCAAAGAAAGTAACAAAGATCAGATGCACAAATCCAGCTTCTTTAAAGAGACGAACTGTGGAGCCCAGCAGGAAATTAGAAATAATTGACTTATTTGTAATGTGTGCATGATGATCAGTAACTTGCTTTTTCTAATATGAAACAATACAGTGAACCAATTGAACTATTTCTGATTCTTTATGAAACTTGCTTCAGTTTTGCACACCCTGTAAACCAAACAATCATACATGAATTGGCTTACTATGATCTCAGTGGGTCTATGTTTTCTAAGTTACATCATATAAAGTACAAAAATACAGTAAAGTCACACCAAAGCAACCTCAAGCAACATTACGAAGTTTTAAAGGTGCAAAAACTTTCAGATGACCTAAACCAGTTTATTTCTATAGGTAAATTTGATGCAGATGCAGATTTTGCCCTTTAAATAGTATTAAACATCCCTTAAACACACACGTTACAAAGCTGACAGTTAGTTTGAAGATCTGTTCTATTCTTATATTTAAGATTCTATTCACACTTGTACCTGTGACAATAGTACGCTACCAAAAACCTATCTCTTTGACTGCAAACATCGAGTTGTAGCTGTTTTTGTCGCATAAATGTTTGGGTCAATTGAGGTTAGGGATGTCTTATATTGGCTTTCTTGCCAATATCCGATATTGTCCAACTCTCAATTTCCGATTCCGATATCAACCGATACCGAAATACGTTTGTTACTGCAGCCACACTTGTATACACGCTTCATAATGCAGTTTGATGTCGTCATCATTAGTGCGCTGGTAGATGTCTGTGAAATCTAGGCATTATTTTATCAGGTTTCATTATAGGCAAAAAAAAAATAAAAAATACAACAATTTTGACAGATATTACATTTTTATGCCAATATTGGACATCCCGAGTTGAGGTTTTTCTGTAATGGTCAGTTGAATGAAAAGCAAAACTAAAGCTTCAGGTCTGATGATGGCTGATCCAGGGTGTGCGGAATTTGTAAGATGAATAAAAGCTATGACAAAAAGAAAAAAAGATTCCTTATACCTGCTGAGCTCCACAGTGCACAAAATAACAGCATAAAAAAAACAATTAAAAAAAAAGTCAAAATACACACTCAGAAATACTTCCAACCAAAGGTTCACATCCTTTTCCTTTAGTTTTTACGCAGCAGGCACAATCAGTCGACAACGACACTACATTTTTTAATATCACCGACATGGTTTCAGGTTCAACCTTCAAAGCTTAAACAGCTTCAATTCATTTATTCAGTGCACTTTTCTTGCCATTTCTTTAACTACATCTAGCTTCAGCCTACAGTTTCCTGCACGTTTCGTAAACACAAATAACTAAATAACAAATAACACATTCCTGAATAAAAACCAGAACAGCGGCTCGTCAGTCAGGTGCTGATTACGGCAGCGTTTTGTCACATAAATCTGCTCAAAGTGTTTTTTTATGGCTCAAACAAGCTGAAAGGAGACGATAAAACTGGACAGATGAGAAAAAAGTTAACACTGAAATTAAGTTAAAAAGCCATCCGGCCACACTGACATTTGAGTTTCTTAGAAAAAAAGAAAACATGTAGCAGGAAGAAACAGCAGCTGCGTTTCCATCCACAGTATAAATTCTGGGATTCAAAGTTTAAAGCTGTAACTCATGAATCTGGAGGCGGGTTAAAGACTTAAACTTTCCATACATTGAAAAAACAAAACAAAACAAAACAAAAAAATAATCAAAGAGTGCAGCTTTAAATGGTTACTGGTGGCTAAATTAACTTTGCTGATTGAAGCAGCATTCAATTTTGTACAGGAAAGAAAAAACTGTATTTAAGTTGAAAATGTACTGTTTAATTTTGAGCATAAACAAAAAACTTCAAATTATACTAAAAACATTAGCTGATGTTGAGACACAAAAATGCAGAATTTAGTCAAATATTGAATATTATTTTCAGTTTTATTTTCAGTTTTATCAGCTACAACCAGCTGAAAATTTTTGTGAAATTTCTGTAAACTTTTCCCTCAGACTGGATGGAAACGCAGCCGGTGCAGCAGCATGAAGACAAACTAAAGTGTATTCAGACCTTTACACATGAAAGCAGTGGGTGGATTATAAAGGCCATCTAGGTTGCATAGAGATACTAAAAGCTAAAGCTACTATCATGTTCGATAGAGTTTGCATGAATAAAGCACGAGAAGTAGAACCACAGAGGAGGAGGAGGAGGAGAAAAAGGCAACAATGAAAGAATAAGTTACAGTAGGTTATTGCCCCTTTTTATTTTACAGTCACACTGATGGAGAGTCAATGTGCTCAGACTGAGTCCCTTTTAAATTAAAGTGTTTGCATTTTACATTTACATTAAAGGAACGCTGATAAAATTAATGAAAACCAGTGAGTTTGAAATCATCTTTCATTCCACATCGACACGTTAAATAATTTAGTTTGAGAAAAAAGGAGAAAGAGACGTGATAAAGGATGTGGGGGTTTCTATACTTCTGTCACAGCTATTATTTTAGTTATTATTATTATTATATTTGGTAAAAAAAATCCCAATCTAATAACTGTAGTTACAAGTGAACCCAAAATCTAATCAAATTCTCTCCCTGAAGACGTAAATTTGACTGTAAAAAATCTGAATTCTGCTTCTTCACATACAGCAGCAGCAACAAAAATGAATTTCAATGTTGACCGATAAAACAAATGTATCAAAACATCCTTGGAAAACCGCTCCTGCAGCAGAATCCACTTTCCTCTGGTGATGCTTTTGTTCCAAACACTAAAAACTATCAGAATCAGAGTGTGGTTTTGTGGTTTGATGTACAAAAATGACTACAAAATAATAATTTTATGTGGCTTTAGCTAATGATTATTTTCATGATTAGTTCTTTTTCTTTCTAAATAAACTAGATTATTTGCTTTGTCTCAAAATCTTCAGAAAATAGATCAAGATGCTCCTTAAAGCTTTATTAAGTTTAAGGATTTGATTTCAAATGGGGAAAAAAGTATACATTTTAAAATTCTGCCTAATTGTTTTCTAAACTATGCTGCAGTGTTTAAACCTTTTTTTTTTTTTTTTTTTTAATTTGATTACATTTTTTCAGTACATCAACAGCTGTGAGGACAACAAGGTATTCCTGGGTTTATCAGGGAAGTGTTTTCATCTACATTATAACAAATATACTGACCTTTTTGGAACGTGACTGAGCAGAATAGCGTATTGTGCTGCAGGAGTGTTTTGAGAAGTTAAGAATAGATTCACACTTTCTCCTGTTTGTTTTAAAACTATATTGAGCTGATCATGTGTACATCATTTATTGCTGCTGTAATTTCTCTTTAAGTTCGTTCTGATCATGAAAAGTTTCTTTTCTGATGCATATGATGGACAAACAAAATCTGAAGTCCTTGTTCCGTACAAACATATATTTCAAATCAGAACGAATATCCCTTTTTTGTCTCCCTCGATACAGTTTACTTTCTGAATAGATGAAGACGTCCCTTTTTGCTGAAGCCTCTGTAACATCAGATAGACTCTGGATTTCTGTTTCACACAGAACAAAGACTGTAGAGTTTGTTCTGCATCTCAAATGTTTCAATTAATTTTAAAAAGACAATGAATGGTCAGTTAGAACAGGCAGAAATATTACAGCAAAACCTGCTTCATTATTCAAAGCAGCACCTGACTTGTTTCAAGACACAGCAACAGTGTAAACCTGCTCTTTAATATTAGAGTTTGTTGTAACTGACATGAATGTGATCAGCTGTTACTCTGTGAAGAACAAAACAAACTTTTTACAGCCAAACTTCAAGTCCACAGTGTGAGACCTTCATATTCAAATGGTTAAACTATCACTTTAACATGAGTAGGGTTGCAACTAATGATTATTTCATTACAGATTAATCAAGTTTTTTCTCAATTATTGTGTAATTTAGTTTGTAAACAAAGACAACAAAACCATTGCAAGTTCCCAGAGGCCAAGGAGGCATTTTAGGTTTGCTTATCTCAACAGTCCAAAAAGAAAAGCAGCAAATCTTTAAGTTTTTTTGTTTGTTTGTTTGTTTTTTGTTGTTGTTTATTTAATTTTTTTGGATGAATCAGCTGCTGAAATATTTTCACAAATTTTCTAACTTCATTGCTAAACTTATGCATGACTCTGAGAGCTGGTGGTTGGAATAAACCACCAGAATTCTCCAGTTCATCAGCTGTGATTTAACACGTTTAACTCCTGGAATAAGTGAAGGTGGTGATGTGTTGCAGGGATGAACATGGCAGAGGACGACCTGTGTGTGAAGACATTTGACTACAAAAAGAGTAGTTCGGTGTGTAAAGCCTGATGCAGCAGTTCTTCAGTCGGTTTTTCCTCCCTGCTCTTTACAGTAGGACGAAGGGGGGCTCAGCTCAGGTGAGTGTGTGTTGGCAGATACACACACACAAACACACACACACACAAAAACACAAACCTGACGACGCACCAAATGCTGTGCGTTCGTCTTCTGGTTGAAACTGTCACAAGGTCCATCCCGCAGACACACACAAGTCAGAAAAGACAGGCGCTTTGTCCGGTGTGGTGCTCTCGTGGTGCCTGCGCTCTGAGTGTGTGTCTGTGTGTGTCTCAGGTGTCTTGGTAGGGCAGGTGGAAGCAGCCGGGACTGTCGTCGTCAGGCGACCAGAAGGACGACGGCCTCTTGTGGTGGAGTTCTCGGCGAACGCAGCGAGGACACGGCTGAGCTTTCTGACGACACTCGGCATGAAAAACGGCGCCGCAGCCATCGCACCTGCGAAAGACGAGGATACGGTGCGTTATCAAGTTTCTCCGTTGGAATGAGAAGACAGTCAGGAAGTCATGGTTCCAGATTATAAGCAACTCCAAGCAGGTTTAGAAGTAAGGAGGACCATTTTTTCCCCCCTTCCATTTGGGTGTTTTTTTTTAGGCTCCGTTGCTGACTGCTTGGTCAGATGGAGTCAACAGGCAACACTAGATTGTTGGCTTCTCTGTTCAAAATTCATCTTCATGTTACGATGTAAAGCACTGTGAGATGACATATGTTGTGAATTGTGCTATATAAATAAAACTGAATTGAATTTTTAAACAATTTTTTGATTGACAACACAAATTGATTGCAATGAACATGACACCATTTCGGGTCATTCCATCTCAAATCATTACATTTTAAAAACTATTTCTGCTGAAACATGTCTGATTTGCCCTAAATTTTATAGGAAAAAATATGGATATTCATAAAGACATTCAGTCGTCCTCAAATGTATTCATACACTCCCATTAAAGAAGGCAAAAAACAGCTGTCACTGAAATAAGTTGAAATTGACAAAAGTAATTATAAATAAAAATTTAATGAAAATCATGACATTGCTTTTGAATTGTGGTTAAAACATAAATATTAATAATGAATAAATGAAAAATACACGCAAATAAGCATAATGGGACCTGTAAACTAATATTTTGTTGAACAACCCTTTGAGTCAATCACTGCAATCAAGTGTTTTCTGTAGCTCTCAATCAGACTTCTGCACCTGTTGACAGGTATTTAGATTTTGGCCCACTGCTCAGCAGCAAAGTGCTCTAATTTGTCAGGGACAGTTTTATTTATTTATTTATTTTTTTTTTTTTTTTAATTATTCTTTTTGACCACAATTCAAAAGCAACATGTTGTTTCACTAAATTATATTTTAGCACATTTTTATTTATTATAGTAAGGGCATTTCATGAGATTTTTCATAAATCTGCCAGCTAAATCGTTACCAAACAATTTCTTCACCAATATGTTTGTAAAGGTGTGTAATAACATGCCTTAAAATATTGAAGTTCAACTCCCGTGGGAAACCCTGAAAAAAATTTACTCAAGCTAGGGTACCGATAAACGATTTTTTAAAAATATATTTTTAAAAAATTGGGCCTTCAGTAATTTATGAGGGTCAAATCTGGGTTTTTTCATGATTCTGAGTTGATTGTTAACGTTTATATTTCACCACAAACACTCCATTGTTGAAAAAGGCCACACTCACTTTTACATTTACATTTACAGCAGCTTTTATTTCACATACTTATATAATACTCAGAGTTATTTCTCATTCACAGTGTCAGAAGCTTCAAGACTCATTGTCGATGTCTTCTTCAGACTCAACAAATTCATGACTGCAGTTTCTACGTGTAGTGCCTTTACAAACTCCACAGGTTGAGATGCTGGTGACCCCATTCGTCTTGCAGCTGCACCGCTGGTTGCTGCAATATCCATGACAATTACAGCTCGTGAACTTCAGTAGCTCCTCAGGAGTCATGGGGTCTACTGTTGAAACTGGCTCATACCCATGCACACCAAATGTCCATCCATAGTCACTGGGCTTCAGAGACATGCTCTGTAGAAGGATCCAGTCCCGGGTCTGCAGAGTGAATGCTGTGCAGGTGCACCCTCTGTTAGAGGTAGAGTCTCTGGTTTGAGAACATCCATCCATTATCTCACTAGGGTCACAGGGGGCTGGAGTCTATCCCAGCTGACTCAGGGTGAAGGCAGGGGACACCCTGGACAGGTAACCAGTCTATCACAGGACTACACTTAGAGACAGACAACCAAGCACACTCATATTCACACCTACTGACAATTTAGAATCACCAATTAAGCTAAACATGTTTTTGGACTTCCCAGAGGACCCACCACCCTCAGGGAAGAGGAGCGGGGTCGGGTGCTATGCCCACCGGGTGGTAGGCAGGAGTGGGCGTCCTGGCTACCGCCCCCTGGTGGCGTAGACTAGCTCTGGGGACATGGAATGTCACCTCACTGGCGGGGAAGGAGCCTGAGCTGGTGCGCGAGGTGGAGCGCTACCGGCTAAATATAGTTGGGCTCACCTCCACGCACAGCAAGGGCTCTGGAAACATACTCCTGGAGGGGGGTCGGACTCTCTCCTTTTCCAGAGTTGCCCATGGTGAGAGGCGCCGGGGGGGTGTGTGGATACTCACAAGCCCCCGGCTGAGCGCCGCCTTGTTGGAGTTCTCCCCGGAGAACGAGAGGGTCGCCTCTCTGTGACTGCGTGTTGCAGAGGGGAAAACTCTGACTGTTGTTTGTGCTTATGTACCAAACGGCAGTTCAGAGTATTCGGCCTTCTTGGAGTCACTGGGTGGTGTCCTGGAAGGGGTGCCGCCTGGGGACTCCATAGCTCTCCTGGGGGACTTCAATGCTCACGTGGGCAATGATGGTGAAACCTGGAGGGGCGTGATTGGGAGGAACGGCCTGCCTGATCTGAACGGGACTGGTGTTTTGTTTTTGGACTTCTGTGCTAGCCATGGATTGGCCATAACAAAACCATGTTCGAACATAAGGTTGCTCATAAGTGTACTTGGTACCAGAGTACCTTAGGCCAAAGGTCGATGATCGACTTTGTAGTCGTATCATCAGATCTGCGGCCATATGTTTTGGAAACTCGGGTGAAGAGAGGAGCAGAGCTGTCAACTGATCACCACCTGGGGGTGAGTTGGATCCAATGGCGGGGAAGGCTGCTGGACAGACCTGGTCGTGGAAGCTAAAACTCAGGTGTGGGAGGAGTTCGGGGAGGCTATGAAGAAGGATTTTCGGTCGGCCCCGTGGAAGCTCTGGCAAACCGTCCGACGCCTCAGAAAGGGGAGGCAGGGATTCGCCCAGGCTGTGTACAGTCCGGGAGGAGAACTGCTGACCCAGACTGGGGATCTCATTGAGTGGTGGAAGGAGCACTTCGAGGAACTCCTGAACCCGGTAAACACGTCCTCAGCTGAAGGGGCAAAGCCTGAAGACTCGGGGGCTTCTGCGTCCATATCCGTGGTAAAGGTCGCTGAGGTAGCTAAGAAGCCCCTCGGTTCCAAAGCACCAGGTGTGGACGAGATTCGCCCTGAGATGCTGAAGGTTCTGGACATTGTCGGACTGTCATGGCTGACACGTCTCTTCAATGTCGCGTGAGCACCGGGTACAGTGCCTGTGGAGTGGCAGACCGGGGTGGTGGTTCCCATTTTTAAAAAAGGGGGACCGGAGAGTGTATGCCAATTATCGAGGTATCACACTTCTCAGCCTCCCTAGGAAAGTTTACTCTAGGTTGTTGGAAAGGAGGCTTCGGCCGATTGTCGAACCTCAGATTCAGGAGGAGCAATGCAGATTCCGTCCTGGTCGTGGAACAGCTCTTTACCCCTGCGGAGCTGCTGAGGGGGGCATGGGAATTCGACCTGCCAGTCCACATGTGCTTTGTGGATCTGGAGAAGGCCTATGACCGTGTCCCCCGAGGCACTCTGTGGGGGGTACTGAGGGAGTATGGGGTACCAGGCTCGCTGCTAGGAGCCATACGGTCCCTGTACAACCAAAGTGCGAGCTGTGTCCGCATTCTCGGCAATAAGTCGGACACGTTCCCAGTGGGTGTTGGACTCCGCCAGGGCTGCCCCTTGTCACTGATCCTGTTTGTGGTTTTCATGGACAGGATCTCAAGGCGCAGTCAGGGAGAGGAGGCTGCTTTTTGCAGATGACGTGGTACTGTTGGCTCCATCAGACCGTGACCTTCAGCACTCACTGGAGCGGTTTGCAGCCGAGTGAGACGCGGCAGGGATGCGGATCAGTACCTCCAAGTCCAAGGCCATGGTTCTCGGCCGCAAACCGGTGGATTGCCACCTCCGGGGGGGGAGTTGCTTCCTCAAACGAGTGAGTTTAAGTATTTCGGGATCTTGTTCACAAGTGATGGGAAAGTGGAGCGTGAGATGGACAGGCGGCTCGGTGCAGTGTCAGCAGTAATGTGGGTGTTGTACCTGACCGTCGTGGTGAAGAGATTTACCAGTCCAGCTCCATCCCAACCCTCACCTATGGTCACGAGCTTTGGGTCGTGACCGAAAGAACGAGATCGCGGATACAAGCGGCCGAAATGAGCTTCCTCTGCAGGGTGGCTGGGCTCAGCCTTAGAGATAGGGTGAGGAGCTCGGACATCCGGAGGGAGCTCGAAGTAGAGCCACTGCTCCTTCGCATCGAAAGGAGCCAGTTGAGGTGGTATGGACATCTGGTTCGGATGCCTCCGGGGAGGCTTCCTCTGGAGGTTTCAAATCCACCTGGGAGGAGACCCCGGAGCAGACCCAGAACCTGCTGGAGGGATTATATCTCTTGGCTGGCCTGGGAATGCCTCGGGATCCCCCAGGGAGAACTGGAAAGCGTTGCCGGGGGGAGGGAGGTCTGGGACGACCTGCTCCGCCTACTGCCCCCGCGACCCGACCCTGGATAAGTGGAAGACAATGGATGGATGGATGGATGGATGGATGGATGGATGGATGGATGGATGGATGTTTTTGGACTGTGGGAGGAAGCCGGAGAACCTGGAGAAAACCCACGCTGCACGGGGAGAACATGGAGACTCCACACAGAAAGATCCCGGGTGTCCTCACCAGGATGCAAACCGGCGACGTTCTAGCTGCAGGGCGACAGTACTAACTACCGAGCCACCTTGCAGCCCTCCTTGAGAACATGTTGTACCAAATTTCACCCAATGTAGTATCTGCTCCGTGATAAATGTGCTGGAAAATCACAGTACCAGCCTGAATCACTGCCTCCTTGGTGGCTTCTATGTCAAGGAAGATGTCCATGTACTCATCCATGTCCCTTGCACAAAACATGTGCAGGGGACATGGATGAGTACATGGACATCTCCAGCTGCAAGACGAATGGGGTCACGTGCATCTGGGCCTGAAGAATCTGTAAAGGCACTACATACAGAAATTGCAGTCATGATGTTGTTGAGTCTGAAGAAGACATAGACAATGACTCTTAAAACTTCTGACACTGTGGATGAGAAATAACTCTGAGTATTATACACTGCTCAAAAAAATAACCAACCTGTAATGTGACTTTCTGAAATACTTTTTACAGTCTGATCTTTTACTAAAATGTGATTTGTCCACCTCAGCTTGCTCTATTTAATGGCTGGTTGTAGATTGATATTTGCTGTTTAAATATAAGAGTGATAACCAATGCTCCCACCTAATTTTCTTCAAAAAAGAAAATAACCAAATTTACTCCAAATACAGTTGCGATATAGCTGCGATACTACAGAGCCGACTTGAGGTTTTCTTTGTGTTAATTATGACCTATATGAGCAGCTGGTGTGTGGGTCCAGTTCAGCTGTAACGTACTGCAAGCTTAAGGAAACACTCTTCAGACAGAAGATAAGTTGTGACGCTTCCCACAATGCATTTATTGCTCATTATTCATTTCAAAAGGCCGATTTCTGACAGCATCCATCTGCTGGTTGTGAGCCCAGCTACAGCTGCTTTGTCTGGCTGTGATGGTGAAGGATGCAGGCTGGTTATTGTTTGGGCTTCGGTTCAGTCTGTGGCACTCTGGATATATCCAGCTGTTACAATTTGAACATGCAGTGTTTCTACGACAGATTATTTAAGAAAACAGCGCTCAGCCATAAAACCTACAACTGCACCAATACTTCCATTTGAATTCCAACAAATTAAAAACAAATACGTCGCAGCCATAATCCGAACAGTAAGTTTGTTCTGGTAGCATTTAGTGAGAGATCTGGTGAACCAGCGTCTCTAGTTTTTTTCTTCTGAATCCAATGGTACAGACTTAAGCTTGAGAGACACAGCTGAGGGTGCACTCTCTCCCTCTACAGGCTACACAATACTGAATCAGTGTACATCCCATACAGGTTTAAGTCTGCATCCTCCTCTGTGGCAGCTCAACAAGTCTGCACCACAGGCTCAAACAGTGACAGGTGGACATGTGCACAGCAGCAACCAAAGTCCAAACAATAACCATATATCCAGCCACATCTTTACCATTGCAGCAGGCAGAGCAGCTGCAGCTGTGTTCACAACCAGCAGCTGGATGCTGTTGGAGTTTGGCCTTTTAAACGGAATAATGAGCAATAAATGTGTCATGTACAGTTTGACGTCTCCTTTCTGTAGTACCTGCAGAGCTTTATAAATGAACATGGTAGTGCGTTATAAATGAACTGGACCAACACACAAACTGATGAAATGGATCTGAAGGAAAGTAAAGCATATGACAGGGCAACACAAACTAAGAAGTTCCAGGGCTTTGAACCATGCTTTCACTTTCAGGACTAAATAATTGGAACCAGTTTCATGGGTTTGGCCATCACTACAAGGTGCAATCAGAAAGTTCTATTTGTGTTCCTATTGCGCACAAACAACTACATGCAACAGGTGCAAGCAGGAACTCCTGTGGATTTGGTTGAATGACAACATTTATTTCATGTGTACCTTTTGCACAAAGCATGAATTGGCTTTAACCTAAATATCACAGCTCAAAGACTGACATCCTGCCTTTTTTTCAAAGAAGGATTATTATTCACATTTTAGTTGTTTGCATTCAGTTTGAGCTCTAATTTGAGTAGTTTCAGTAGTTTTTGATAAAGTAACAGGTTGTTTTCACCTGTCTTTGCAACAAATAAGCTGGTAAGTACAAAGTTATTATTAGTAACTGATAAGATTACTGGTCAGAACTGCATCCAGACTTGACTGGAATGCATCTGAATAATCCATTAGGAGCCTGTTCAGGTCTGGCTACTGCTCATTTCCTGCAGTTTCACTGTCTGAGTCAATGGCTTGGTGAATCTTTACAGCTCAGTTCCAGTAAGTACAGCAGATACAGCTGTTATCAGTTAACACTTAACACTTCCCTCACAAGTCATAAAACACACCTCAACAAGTCGGGGTGTGTTCGCCCACAGCTCAGTGATGAAGTCGAGGCTCTGGACTTTGTTGGGAAATTCTCTTCAGCCAACAGTGTCACTAACAAACAGCAGGATCAGTTTTGCTGCTTAAAGAATCACATACATATTTTGTATCTCATTTCCAGATTGTGAAGGTTCAGTTCATCTTGCTGCCACTGAGAGAGCTTGTTCTTGAGGGTAGTTTTGGTTTTATTTGTCCAGGTTGTGAACCATCAGCATTAGCCCTTAAACCTCTGTCTCCATCCAAATATGACAAAAGATGATGGGATTTAGGTTATAACTTCTTACAGAAACAACAACACTGATAATCCACTGACCTCACTGCCTTTGGAAGAAAGTTTAAAGCTTGTTCTGTGCATTATCCAAAGTAACCAGATCGTTTGACGGATTTCAATTTCTTTTCTGTACTTTGAGTGACAGAAACACGTGAAACTCTTCTGTTGTTTTATTTTCCTCCCTCTCTCTCTCTCTCTCAGGTGCTACTGTTGGCAATGGCTGGTTGATTATTGTGTTTACTTTGGCTATTTACTGTAACAACAGTGACATCCAATCTCATCCTTGAAAATTGTTTTGTAGCAGCATCTGCTAAATTTAGGTTCTATATTAGGGGTTTGCAGGACTTTTTATAAACAAGTGCAAGCGACATTTGTTTAGGAACCAATAAGTTCAATCAAAATTTAACTTTTACATGATCTCTTCAGAAGTGGTCTTAGTCCTCTGTGTATCTGTTGCTCTTCCTTTCGAGGATGGAGGTCTGACAGTCTAGTCTTTATGGTTTTTGTTTTCTAATTTAGTTTGTGTACTACTTTGTTAGGTGTAAAACTCTAGGTTCTACAGCACCAGACTTCCTCCATTTTTTTCTAGTTGGTCAGGCCTCCAGACTCTTACAAATTTGCTAAGAATTTGACTTTTTTTTTTGTAAAAAAAATAACTTTGTAGAAGCCGATATCTCGTGTAAGACATGACAGAAAATCACATGAACCTTCAGCTTCTCTCAGATTTACAGAGCTTTACAGTTAATTTACTGATTTCCACTGCTCTCATTAGGAGAAAAAACATCAGCCAATTTCATGATTTGACTTTTAAAAATTCTTGTTTCAATACAAAGAAAAAGAGGAACTATATTTAGGCCCCTACTTCTGCCTCCACTGAGCAGCAAATGAAACATGACGGTTTAACTGGCTGCCACAAGATCTTTAGTTTGATCTTTTCCGCTGAATCAAATCTCATCAGATCAAATAAAACCTAAATCAGCTACATGTATAATTGAAAACCGGCTCAGATTTTTTTGGCTGAGTAAAGTTCAGATGTGAGGCTCTGTACCTGCGGGTGGCGTTCTCCTGGAAGGGGTAGATGACCTGTCCGTTGTGGCAGAGCTCACAGATGAAGCCTTTCTCTCGACACAAACTGCAGCTGAAAACGTGGGAGCTGGCAAACTTAATCACCTTGGACAGGAAGGGAGCCAGTTTTCCATCAATCACCTGAAAGAGGACGAAAAGAGAGGAAGAAAGTTATAGATTAATACGCAAACTGATGAAATGTGACAATTCCATTAGAGACCTGTGTGAAAACTGTTGTGTTTTCACAGCAACATTAGTTCCTCTTTTATTTATTTATTTATTTATTTTGATAGATTTGTCTGAGTTTTAACAGCAACTTTTCCATCCTGAGGGCGACCAGTAGAATTAGTAACGATTAAATGCTACAAGCTGCAAGATACTTAAGTATGACAAGGTCAGAAAATCCAGATACAGTTTGACCAAAGATCATAATTGACATGTTAAGTGACGTTATTCAACTAAATATAATTCATCTAGAAAGCAACTAATTATAAGAACAATGACAATTTTTACTATAAATAATATTTAGCCATTTTATCAAACGTGACAGTGACACAGAATGCAAAATCTGAGTCGACCGATAATCTGTTTTGTTTGTTTGTTTGTTTTTGTTTTTTAAGATTCACAAAAAATAAATACATTTATAGATGTGCTTCATGGGTTCTAATGCAGCTGCCTCTGCAATGAGCAATGTCCCACCCACACCGTTGTCTGATTAATTACACATGACAACTAACAGCCAATCAGCACTGACGGATCGATGTTGAAAAGGGCTCTCTTAAATTAAAAATAAGTAAAACACAAATAAACTAAAACATTTCAATTAAGCTTTGTGTTGGTGCTTGAGTTGATCTAAATTTTGACACCAGTAATGAGAACTGGTGCTTGAAAAAACTACTGAATGGAATTCCACTTTAATAGCAGTTTATATCAAGCCTGCTTTTAGATTTTAAAATCAAGCAAACACCTGAACCATCATCCTCCCTGCTGACATCTATTGAAAGTGTCAGATTATAACAAATCCCTCTGACTTATCAAGACAAAAGTTCTCCATTAAACATTTCTGATTATCAAATTAAACAAGCCCACAGTTTGTTATGAATCAGCTCTGTGATCACAGCAAACCGGGGAAGCATGCAAAAAAAATTTTATTCCCCAAGGATGAATTTCTATATGTAAAAAGTCAGCGTTATCAAAATAGCCTGTTACAAACCGGAGAGAGGGACCCTCCAGACTACCTGCTCATATGTAACCTGGAGACGGAGGCCAGCTGCCTCAGCTCCAACCAACCTGGAAAGACTACACTAAAAGACAGCACACACCAAACATATCAACAACACACACAAGGCTTGCAAGAAGACCCCATGGTCTCATATAACATTGCTAACGGGTAGCCAATACAGAAAACCAGCATCTATGAGCAAAATTTGTGACCAACACACCACTGCAGCTGTCTGCAAGGCAAGAGAAAGATCTGACATTCAAGCAGCCAGTTTAAGACGGTAAGTACAATCTAGTGTGATGATGTTGGTTCTCTCTGTAAACGCATAGATTCACTTTGTTAATCAATGCAAAGACTGAAACTGTAGAAAACACCACAAAAGTGTAAAAAGAAATTAGAGGACATTGAAGGATCAAGAAATAAATGCTTGAAAATGACCTAAAGTAGAATTTTCTGCGGCTTTGAGGAAAGACAGGAAGGAAGGAAGACGGTAACTGACGTCATCTGATGGTAACGCTCAGCGAGCTCCTTTAAGACTGAGGGTTGGGGGGTTCTGGCAACCAGGGGTGGAGCTGCATTGTGAATAGACGGTGGATGACTGCACAGAAAAGCTGCGCAGAATCGTACAGATGTTAAAACGCGATATGGCTGCGGAGCTTCGTGGCATCGAGTTAAAAAACGCGAATGGAGCTACGAGCTCGAAAAGACGGAGAGAGAGAAAGTAAGAGAGAAAGACATGGTAGAAAGTAAGAGAAAGAGTGGCAGAGATACAATAAACAAGAGAGATCTTGAGAGAGAGCGAGAGCCTGTATTCAGATACAAGTGGTTCCACCTGGCAGAGCTCTGGACCTCCCAATTATAACCTCCTTCATGCTGTTTGTTAGACGATGAGGACGAGAGGACAAGAGGACGTGAGATGGAGAGAGGAGGAAGAAACCACACACACACAGACACAGAGGAAACACTGAGCTATACTGTTTGCAGTCATACAGCAGATCCAAACAGTGCTGCACTTCACACTGAGATGGATGGGTTAATTATCAACCATACTGGGCACTTATGTACACGATATGATACCATATGATCAGTTTCAGACCAACAAGAGGCTGGTGTTCTGGACCAACGTCTCACTAATAACAGGATCTATTCTAGTCAGTGCCGTCAGACACTATAAAAGTACCACATGTTTATTTATGCAGGTGCTTTTTGGTACACTCAGAAAAACAAGTCAGCATTCTTGAAACACTTCATCACATTCTACAGAACCTCTCCAGAAGCTCCTAAATAAGATTTCTCAAGGTAAATTAAAGATTGTTAATTGGGGTTTCATTTAATCAACAGATATTTTGGTTTAGAAATGATCAGAAATGACAGGAAAATGCATAGATTTCTGTCAAATAAGGCAATACAGACCCCTCAAAGGTCCGTTCTTAACCAGTGAAAACCCAGCATGTCTACACAGAAAGCTTAGCACAAACAACAGCAAATGCTCTGCCTATGTGTCTAAACAAGAGGCCTGCAAGTACAAGGCTGAATACAGGTGAAGTGCTTAGATGCCAATACATGAGAAAAACACACTTAAAGCCTAAAAATACAATTTAGGCCAAAGCAAATGAGCCGTTAAATGGGCAGTGAAGTTAAATAACAATGGGACAATATCTCCTCCTGTCTCAACTCTTACTTTAGTGAACAGAGCAGGTAGGCACGGTGACAAAGTCTTCTGTGAGGCTTAATGACCTTCAGATAGCATACATCTTCTGTAAACACTACAGAAGATGAACGGCTGTAGCCACAAGTAAGATCAAAGACACACTGATGAACACTGCACCACAGCCGCTAACAAAAAGTTTGGCAGCGTGTACAACCTACTTCGTTATCTGTGTATGAATTAACCACTGTAGCAAAGGCTGATATTGTTATTTTCTTCTGGAAAACATTATATAAGAATTTGACAAATCAGGGAACAAAGCTGGTGACAGTAAGGTCCAATAAGAAAGTGAACATGGACGTCTGCGCCATCATTACCAAAAGTCTCTATTTCTGCCTGTTCAGACTAAAACGTAACCCCAACAGTTGTCAAACTAAAATAGAGTTACATTAGTGTACTACTAAAAACTGGTCAGTAATTATAGGAAGTGTTTGATTGCTATAATAGCCAATAAAGGCTTTTTTATTATTGAAGGAAATGCCACTTTTTGTCCAAATGTAAATGAAAGCTAAGATTTTTTTTTCTCCACAATGATGCCTCTTGTACATCGTCTTATTATCTTTTGGGAGACGCCTGTGTCATTGACAAAGAAACTTGCTGGTTGAATAAAAGTAACTATAAGTCAAAAATTGCCAGGTGTATGAATAATTTCAGGCTTGACTGTATAAGCAGCAGAAGTTATGCATTCCAAAATAAAAACCCATTAGTGTAGATGTTGCCCTAAAAACCCAGCTGAAACACTTTTGACTTTAAAAGTAGCAAAGACACTGGAAGGATTCAACCTAAGCAGCACAAAGTGAGTCAAAGAATAGCCCACTTAAATTACAAGTGGAGTCGGGAGAAAGACTTTGATATTTAGCTAGTTAACATATTTAGATACTGTCCCTCTGGCTCTTATTTCTGTAGCACCTTTTAAAACTGAAACAGCAGCACGTCTTTGACAGAAGTACTAGAATAGAATCACTGATGACCTTTAAAGATGCTCAAACTTGAGTAAACAAAGAAAAAAATTGAATTTATTCTCAAATTACGAGTCCACTTAAAAAATGTTTAGTCACGAGTGGAGAAAGTACAAAAAAACAAAAATTCAAAGTACATTTTGAGAACAAAGAACACAAACACACACATTTACAGCTAGCAACATTAACATCTGTATAACTTGTCTTTTTTTTGTTTGTGGTATATAAAAAATAAAACGCTTCCAGTGTGTCTGAAGTTGTTGTATGCACAATTTAATAAAGAGGCCCCTGCTAAACTGTAAAAACTCCACAGTGCACCCACAAGTGTCACTAATTTAATGTTCTTCTGTGAATGAACAACCTGAGTCCAGTTAGACATAATAAATGTTTCCAGACAGACAGACAGACAGGTAGACGGATATACGAGTCCCCCTCCGCCCAGAACAGCCCACACCAAACCCTAAGCAGGCCTGCTCAGTCCGGTCCAGCCCAGTCCACATGACGAATGGCTCTGCTGATGGAGGCTGACAGGCTCAGTAATTAAGGCCCGCTATAATTGGACTGGGCAGAATCAAACGACTGGCAGTGCAGCTCTGGTGGCTGACTGGTTCTCTGGAGGGACGATGGGAACGTAGGAGGAAGATGGATGGATGGCGAGTGACAGAAGTAAATGGGTGAAAAGGGGGACAGGGCCAAATAAAGAACACTACAAGTAAATTAAATCCAGCTTCCTTCATGTGTCTAAAGCTGAGATGCAAATTTTCATTATAAACACTGAATTGCTCAGAAAAACTGCTGATATTATTGCATTTAGTTCCATAAATGTCCCCCATTTTCTTAAAATTCCTACATCCCAGCTGTTACTGCTTGCTATAAATATTCAGTGAGCATTTTATTAGCTTTACTGAAGCAGTGCAGGCCAGCAGGGTCACACGGGGACGATAATTCAGTCGACTACTTCCAACCTGAACAATACAGCCACATATTGATGGTTGTCCTGAGAGTCTGGGCCAAACAGTACGTCAGTCAGAGAGTGACTCCAGAATAAGAATTTGTTGTCATATAAGTAGAATAAAACGCAGAAAATACAATATCAGGTGTTAACAGATGGAGCCAGGAGTCAGTAAAGATAAAAAGGAATGGAGGCCTCAGTACTGGTCAGCAGTCCAGAAACTATCAAAGGCACTCTGATTTTAATATAATCAGAGTGCATCAAAGATATCAAATATGAAATATATGTCGCCCTACAATC